GCCCACTTCGTCAACTCAATCCTCGAGCAGGTCGAGAAGCTCTGCTCTTCTTCCTCATAACATTGCCTCCTCTACCACGTGAGCAGCAGAGTTCGCGGGCTAAAGCATTTTCACGACCCCGCATTCTTCGAACAACAGACTTGGGCGCACGAGGGAAGAAGAAACGTGACATGTCGACAGAAGGCCTTGTCTCGACGACGTCCGGAAAGTGGTCGGCAGCGGAGAAACATATGGCAAAGAGCTGGCTACATCGAGGTACGCGATGATGAGGTACTTGATCAAGCGCGCTCTACCGTTGCTTGTCTCTTATGGCCTCTTCCAGCCGAACAACAGCCACCCTTAAGAAGGTTCGTACTCTATTATTTTCAAGGGCTTCCTATGATTTCTACTGATTGTCTAATCGCAGTTGGTGTCTGCAATTGTGCGCTTGTGTTTACATGATTCCCCAGGTGACGTCAATCTTGGGCAAGCAACCAATTTTATTATTCTTTCAATTGAGAGATGGCGGCCGCAACACCAGCGCGAGAGCCCATCTCTGTGGCACAGAGAGAATCTCTGCGGACCGTCGTTTCGCTTTGGGGGGGGGCTGCGGGTAAACGGCGGAGAGGACCGTTTGGCGGGAGACGTTGAAATTGGTGGAAAAGAAGCAAACGTCACGCGAAAAGGGGTGCTCCGAGCCAATGGGCCGTTGGGACCTTTCACCTAAAGATGTTGACGCCGCAAGAGGCTGCTGACGTGGCCCAATGTCGAGCGTCGAGGGTTTGTCGACACACCATAAATGACAGACGCCGGCTGTTGTCCATGAAGCTTCTCCGCCGGCGACACACCAGCCTTTGTGTTTTTTCCTCTACTCGCGCTCGCCAAACAAAGCCGGGGCTGCGCCCTTCGCCTTTGACCTTCCAAAAAGGGTACGGCTCAACGAGTCCCGCCGCCCGCACAGCCATCTATAATCAACATCAACATCCTACTACAACCCACAGCGATCATTCTCTTTTCGAGAACTTCCCTCCTCTCTTCTCATCATGGATCACGCATGCAGCAACGCTCGCTTAGACACATCTCGATGATGATGGCCCCTTGACAGATTTTCATCTGAACAATGAAATCATTCAATCGCTCAGATCTCTCATCCCTCTATCCCTTTCCTTACATCCCACGATGTCTATCAAATCTATCTTCATCCATCCATCATCCCCCCCTCCTACATCTACTTACATCTGCACGGATTATGGCTGCCATTTTGCTGATATCGAGCCCGCCATTTACCATTCAGGTTGAACGATTACACACATACACGCACACATGATGGATGACAGCTTCTCCTTTGAACCTGTCAAGCTGAATGCTGGCAGCGATCCCACCAAGGTGCGTTGCAACGATGCACTCTACGCTGGAGTAGATGGATTGACTAATTCACACATCTGCCATCATTGTCATCATTTCAGGCTGGCACGAAGGAGGAGGAGGAGGAGGGCGTACTGGGCAAGCGACACAGAAACGCCAATGGTGATGCTGCTCAGGTAGAGATTACCCTCCCCCGCCCATTCAAAAGCCAGCCCGCTATATATTGCGAATCGTCCGCTAATCCTCATCGCAATGCACAGGATGTAAAGGCACCTACTCAGCATCAGCAGCCATCGAAGAAACCCAAGGTAGAGGACCCAGTCGCCAAAGCCGAACGAAGGCGCATACTCGAGGAAAAAAAGAGACTGCTCGCTGATGTAGAGAAGGAGCTCGCCAAGATTAGTCAAAAATCTCCATCGCTTCCCTCGACAGGCGGCTCACTACCTGGACCCAAGTACTCGGCCTCCGCACCCACGACACCGATGCTCTCCTCCTCCACTCCCCTGCCGGCTGGTCGTGGGGCGGCCGCATCGAACCGAGGCCGAGGCGCCGGTCGCGGGGCGCGCGGCGGGGCTGCCAAGAGCACTCCAGCTCGAGCGACCACACCTCCTGAAGCGATAATCGAACTGGAGAGCGAGCCAGCCGCTCTCTCATCTCTCACACACGCCACTGGTACCGCTACGCCACTCTCCTCGTCCTCCGACCACCTGGCGACAGGTGGTGCTCGCGGCAAGAGGAAGTCGCCAAGCAGCTCCTCCTCAGGCATACCACGACGCGCTTCCCACGACGTGTCAACGCTTCCTACGTCGCCCACGCCCGAAGGACCGGTGACTCGAGCCAAACGAGCACGGCGGCCGAAGCGACTCGACACGTTCGGCGGACCGGCCAGCCTCTCGTGGGCGCTCAAGCAGTGCCAAGTTTTGCTCAAGACACTGATGACACACAAGTTCGGCTGGCCATTCAACCAGCCGGTCGACCCGATCGCTCTCAACATTCCCGACTACTTCGACGTGATCAAGCACCCAATGGACTTGGGCACCATCAAGGTAGACCTTCGCGTCCTTCCTCCACGTGGAGAATTACGGCTCACCACCGTTGCATCCTACTCTAATCTTAGGAACAACTGGACTCGGGGAGCTATGAGACGGAAGAAGAATTCGCTGAGGACGTGCGGCTGGTGTTCACCAACACGTTCACCTACAACCAACCGGGTTCCGACATCGTCGTCATGGCCAGCACGCTCTCGAGCCTCTTCAACGAGAAGTTCGAGATCCTCAAGGCCAAGATCGAGGAGCGGGGGCGGGACGCGCCGGAGGGCGTGGAAGAAACGCTCAAGGAACTGCGCGACTCGATGTCGTCGGTGCAGCGGGAGCTGGAGCGCATAAAGAAGACGCCGAACGGACGAGCCGGTCGCGCCGGTGCCGCTGAAGATCAACGGCCAATGACGTTCGAGGAGAAGAAGAAGTTGAGTCACGCCATCAACAACCTGCCGAGCGACAACCTGGGGATGGTGGTGAAGATCATCCACGAGCGAATGCCCCAGCTCACGTCATCGGGCGAGGAAATCGAGATCGACATCGACGCGCTCAACCCGGCGACGCTGCGGCACCTCGAGCGCTACGTGCGATCGGTCACCCAGCGAGGCCGACGACGCGGCAGCCGCACGCCGTCGCTCACCAGCTCGACGTCGTCCTCGAACAATGTACAGAACGAACCCCTCGCACCGCAAGGCACACAGCAGAAGATAGAGGATGTCGAGCGACAAATTAAGGCTCTAACCGAGCACCAGCAAGCGCTGACACAGAAGGGGTTGGCGAGATCGTCCGGCGAAACCGATCTCCTGCTGGCCGCAGCCGAAGAGAAGAAGAAGAAGCGAAACAACGACGACAGCGATTCGAGCGAGTCGGAGACTGATGGCAGCGATTCGAGCGATTCGAGCGACTCTGAGACGTCGGACTCTGAGAGCGACAGCGGGTCCGACTCGGAATCCACCGACAGCGAGGCCGAGCGGAAAGACGCCGCCGCCGCCGCTCCAGCGGCAACGCCGACCGGCGTGGCGAGAACCGACGCGCCAGTAGTGACGACTCTCCCCTCCGAAGCGTCGGCCGCCGGCGAATCGTCGTCGGAGCCCGCAGACGCGACGACCGCGGTGGTGGCGGGTGAAGTGGCGGCAGCATCTGCCCCGTCACCAGCCACCGCATCGGCAGGCGAAGGTACGCGTAAAGCTGCTTGTTCGTCCCGCGTGGTGTTTGCCTTCGCACCGTGCGACTCCAGAGTGCTAACGCCTCTCCAACACGCTCCACACACGCACACGCAGATGAAGGCACGCACTCAGAGAACGGGCTCGGGGCGAACAAGGCGGGGTCGGCCATATCGTTTTCCTTCGACCCTTCGCTGGGCACCAAGGAATCATCGATCCTCCCTGCAGAGGTTGGGAACGGAGACGAGAGCTTACCGCAGGCTGCTGTTGCTATCGACGACGCGCCTCCCAAGTCTGAAGCGCCAAAGGTGCTCACCCAGCTGACTACTTAGTCAATTTTGAATACGCTTCTTACCTCTTTCTCTTCTCTTCCCGCTCTATTATATACTTCCGTTAATTTGTTATAAATTGAAAGTGAGGACTTTCGCCGCGAGATTACTGCGCAGCTCTCTCCCTCCCTTTATTCGCTTGTAAATACTGCCGCTTCCCCCCACACTTGCGCGCGGGGGGACAATAAACACACGACCACGATTGTGTGTTATAGCTTATTGCAATTGCATTTACCTTACTCTTCTTCTTTTCTCTACAGCAAGTGGCGCTGAAGAACGTGGACGCGTGGAGCGAACTCAGCGACGATTTTGAAGCCCCCACAGGAAAGCCCCAATCTCCTCCCTCCCTCGACAAGACCTGGTCACAGTTCCAAACGAAGAAGATGCAGGATGCGATCAGGGTACTTACTTCCCCACCCGTTCCTTTGTGGCACAACGTTCCACGAAGCCTTACCGGTCGCGTGTTCCATCGGCCGCAGGAAAAGGAACGATTGGAGAAGGAGGAGCGAGAGCGCAAGGAGCGGGAGAGGCGGGAGGAGGAAAGGAAACAAGAGGAAGAGCGCCGCAGGCGAGAACACGAAGAGGCCGAAGTGCGACGCCGACGAGAGGCGGAGGAGGCCGAGCTCAATGCCCAACGCGAGAGGGAACGCCAAAGGCAGGCCGAGCGCATGGCGCGAGAAAGGGTACGCGTAGCCCCTCCCCCCTCACACCAGTCGTCTCGGTAGTTCCTTCGGAGAACACACACATGTTCTTACCGATCTCCCTTACCATGTGCGCGTGCAGGGCGAGCTGAGCATGATGGAACAGAGCCTGCTCATGGCCTCGTTCGAGCAGCAGGCGGCGCCCGTGCTCCCCCTCTTCCAGTACAAGAGTCTGGACGACGTGGAGGCCGACTTTGGCGATCTCGACGCGCAACCGACGATGAACGGCGAGGAGGACCGCGCAGCCAGCAGCTACGGAAGCGACAACGGCCGGGGCTCGCTGGAGGGTGGCAGTAGGGGCGATGGCGAAGTTGACAACGGGGAAGCGACGGAGACGGAGGAAGGCGCTGAGATGGAGCTCTCTCCGACCGCTCCGCTGCCGGTGCCTGCCTCCGACGAGATGGAGGAAGGGCAGATCTAGAAGAGGAAGAAGAAGAGGAAGAAGAACCTGATCGGTCCCTCACGACGACAAGAAAGTACAAAAGAGAAAGAGAGGCAATGGGAGAAGAGACAAAGTTGGCAAACTCCCACAAACAAAAGCCAACAAAAGAAAGAAAAGAAAGAATTCTTGTTCACACTGTGACTGGTAACAACAGCAGCAGGGTGGTGACCCACCACAAGGCAAGAGTGAGAAACTGCACTGCCTCCTTGGTCTTGAATAGCTCCTTGTGATAGTGGAACCTCTTCTGTGAGGGCATGAGCTGGTGTTGTTGAGTGGTTTGGAGATTGTGTTTGTTGACCATGCAGGTCAGCTACCCCAGCATGAGCCTGAACTCCAGGCAATACACCAACCTGCATATTCTGCCTGCCACAGACACAAACAATATGCCTGTATCAGAGGTCTGTGTAGTAGTGCATCTGTGCTGGTGAATGTCAGGGGACCCAGCAGTATGCTACCCAGAGCTGCCATTGCCATTGGCCAAGCCCAGGTGGTACTGCTTGATGAACCAGTCCAGGTTCACCAGCACCTCACAATGGCAACAAAGAATGAGCATGGGCAAGCTGAATGGCCTGCCAGGGAAGTCAACATTGGCAAGAGCCTGGAAGAGTGCCTTGAAGGCAAAAGTCAGTTAATCTTGGTGATTGGCCCAGGAGGTGAGACACACATGTGTGCAGTGAGCCCTCATATCTTCCTCTTCACCACATTGGTTTGTGCTTTCGCCTGACAGTTGTTGTGGTTGCACAGTCCACAGGTGATTCTGTTGGACAAGGCCACGTCTTCACTGGATGTTATAACCAAACAGCGCGTGCACACCACGATGGCATTGCTCTCCCTCAAGACAACCAGTACTCCCTGCCACTCGCCCAACTTGTGGACTAACGCTTCAACGAAGTTGAGTCCCTCCACAGCCATCGCTGTGACGCATCTCTTCCCTGCACCTCTTTGACTGCTTTTGGTCACGCACCACGGCAAATTCGTCACACACAAACACACACGACAAACACACCCAACCACGATGGCACACGCGCACACATGCTTTTCTAACTTTTGGCAGTTACGTGTGTGTGGGCTTCGCGGCTTGGCCTTTCAGCGCCTCTGCCACTCACCACTGGTGCGCCACGCGCGTGTGCGCGCCTCCCGGCTGCCCTTTGCTGCGCTGGGGGCCAACACTGACATTCCTGTGTCTCGGCATCTCTGGAGGAGGGCCGGTCGAGGACACCCGACTGCGCACACTGCAGGCCTATGGGATGAAGGAAGCTACCGACGACTCACTTGCAAGACAGTGAGAATGATCATTCGTAACCGGCAATCATCTACACATAAAGAGCGAAATCGAAATGAAAAGGAGAAATTGGATTGATCACGCGAAGGAAGTCGAACCCAGTGCGATGGTGCGAAGAGATGGAGAAGAAGAGTTCTAATTTATCGTTTGTGTGGGTGTGGGAAGCGTAGCGAGAGAAAGTTTACTGCCTGGGGCCGCCCCTTCCTCCTCTGTCGCCGCCCCTGCCTCCTCTATCGCCGCCCCTGGAGCCGCCTCGCCCGCCTCGTCCAAATCCTCTGCCGATGGCCTTCTGCACGCCGGCACCCTTTCCCCTTCCCTGCGCCTTCTTCGGATCGACGTTTCGGAACATGGGGGCGTTCTTGAGCATGTCCGGAAGGATCATGAAGCGGATCTTGCTGCCTCTGATGTAGACCTGCTCGAGATTCGTCACGCGGCCATCTCTCGCCGTGTACTGGATGTTGGCCATCTGGCAGTTCATGTTGTCCTCAGTGTCGCCCAATTGGCCCCGATAGACCTCTCCCGTCTTCAGCTCGATCGTCACCGTGTGGCCCTTCGCCTCATGGAAAACTTTGATGGGGATGCCGATACTCATTCTTCTCCTTTACTCGCCGATGGGATAACAACAAAAAAATCGAGGCCGAAGATTGAACCGCTCAACGGTGCTCCTTCGGTCCCACAATAGTTTTCTTGGGAGTCATATTTCTTTCCATTTTCCTTTGTTCTTTTCAAGAAGGCATCTGTGCCCGCACGAACATGGAAGCCCCGGAGGGCCACACCACACCGTCGGACCAAGGTGGTGAAGTGGAAGTGCCGGCGGCAGAGGCGGCGGTGGCAACAAACAAACGCTCAGGACGAAGAAATAAAAGGCGCCGAGTTGAAGTTCCGACGGAAGAACCACACGCAGGAGAAACGGAGGGAGTCCCCCAACGACGGAGCACGGACGTGTACAAGTACTATGCCCAGCGCTATCGCCTCTTCTCCCGCTTTGACGAGGGCGTGCTACTCGACGAAGGTTCCTCCCCAGCTTTTTTATTATTTTTATTTGTTTATATTTTCATAATAGTGCAGGCCTGCGCTGACGTGACGGTGTACTGTTGTGCGCTGACTGTTGGCAGAGGGTTGGTACTCGGTCACGCCGGAAAAGATCGCGGAGCACATCGCAGAGAGGTGCTCGTGCGGGGTGGTGATTGATGCCTTCTGCGGCGTTGGCGGCAACTCCATCCAATTTGCCTTCACCTGCGAGCGCGTGATCGCCATCGACATCAACCCCGAGCGGTTGGCCATGGCCAAGCACAACGCCGAGGTCTACGGCGTGGCCGATCGCATCGAATTCATCCTGGGCGACTACCTCACGCTCATACCCACGTTGAAGGTCAGTCTGCCGCTCTCTGTCCCCAGCTTTGTACAATTTTGTGCTGACGGGGTACCGCAGGCCGACGTGGTATTCTTGTCTCCACCGTGGGGAGGACCGGAGTACATTAACCGGCCCTACTTCAGCCTCAGCGTGATGCCCATCAACGGCTTTGAGCTCTTCCGGTAAGGCCTTGCCTTCCCCATTCACATCTGACATGGCTCTCATGAGAGACTGTGTGTGTGGTGTGTGTGATGTGAGCGCATCAGGCGGACGCAATGGGTGACAAAGAACATCGCCTACTTCCTGCCCCGCAACACCGACGAGATGGAGCTCCGACAGGCAGCCGGGCCGGGCGAAGTATTCGAGGTGGAGGAGAATTACATCAACAAATCCATCAAGGCGATAACCGTCTACTACGGTGACCTCGTGTGCAACGCAGAGGAGTCGCAGTACGAGCCACCGCCGCCGCTGCCGCCACCATCAGAGCTAGCGGCAGAGATGCACTGGGAGCAGGGTGGTCCTGCGACGGACGGTGCAGAAGAGCCCGCGGGCTCCTCTTACGCCCCGACAACCGAGCAGCAGCAAGTTGCCGGAGCAGAGAATGGCGAGGGGGAGAAGGGGGAGGGCGGAAGACAACCACCACCAGCCCCACCACCGCTCGCATCGCCTGGGACGGTGCAGGCTGGTGACGATTGCAGCAGCGACCACCAGGGGTGCGGACAGTCGGTCCTGTCACCAACTCCGACGAAACAATGAATGTCGACAATTCTCTCGCGTATCTGTGGGCCTTTTTGTCCAGTTTCGTGTCTTTCTTGCGCACGCACACCACCACGCCCCCCGTGTACACACCTCATCAACCCGCAAACTCGTGGTACGAGTGAGCGTCAGACCGTTCTTCTGTTCCCTGCCTTCTTTCTTTCTCTCCCCCCCCCCGGGTCCAAAACCCACAATGAGTTCGTCCGTGCGGCGGAGCGCGCGCAGCCGCCGACCCACCAACCCGACCCCCGTTCTTGGTACGCTCACTCGCGGCACCCATCATTTTCTGTTTAAACAAAAACAAAAACAAATCCAAAATTTTATTACCCTTTTTCAATTTTATTTTGGAGTCTTTTTTCCATCTCCTTTTGTCAGATAAATCCTAATCTGACCGCCAAGGAAAGAGGCACCCCGCCCCCTTCCAAAGTCCGCAAGTGGGCATCAGCAACACGCAGAGCAGTTTCAGTTTTCCTTCCTTTCTTCCCGCCGCAGCCGCCACACCACACGCGCAGCAGCCAAATAGCACCACTTGCCAGTACTTCCTCTTTGTTCTGTACTGCTGCCCCGAGTCTTCCACACACATTGCCCTACTACTCGACACGTCTTCGAGTAGTAGCTCTTTTCTGTGCGCGCGGAGCTGCTGGTGGGTGTCACCGTCTACGTTGCAGACTTCCACTACCACTTCATTTCCATTTCCATTTCGGGGTGAAGAGGCTGCTGTGCCTCTCTCTTGCAACCATGGAGGCCGGCCCGGGTCTCCCCTCATCGGCCCTGCTCTCGTGCTGGGCTTCGCTGCTGACGCCCGGCTCACCTCGCCGCTCGCGACGTCCCTCCCCTACAGAGCCCGGCACCCGCACCCGATCGGCCCGCGGCACAACCACCACTACGCCCACCAGAAAAGGCGGTGCTCGTCGACGATCCCAGGACGATGGCCCTTCCAACAGCGAGTCGTCTTCATCATCGTCTTCTTCTTCCTCTTCGTCTTCCTCTGAAGACGAGATGGACCACAAGGTAACAACAACTACACGTAGTGGTGCAACACGGGCGTTGTTGTTGAGCTCTCTGTGCATTTTTACTCAACAACGCGTTGTTGTTGTTGCGGTTGTGTGTGTAGGTTTGCGTGGTGTGCAAGGGACCCCACGATGAGGAACAGCTGCTGCTGTGCGACGATTGCGATGACGGCTACCACACCTTCTGCCTCGACCCACCCCTCAAGAAGATCCCCTCGGTGCGTCCGTGACCTCGTCGTTTAGCTGATGCCCTCAGCACACCACCCACCCACCCATCACACGAAACCTTTTTGGCGTCCTCTCTCGCCCGCTCTGGTCGTCTCACCTTCTTCCTCTCCCAATTCTGTATTTGGTTGTGTGTGTGTGTGTGTGTCGAACACAGGGCGATTGGTTCTGCCCGAGCTGTGCCGAAAAGGAGCGGAAACCGAAGTCGAAGTCGAAGTCCAAGGCAACGACGACCACGGCAAAGAAGTCTGCGAGCCACGCCTCCAACGGCAGCAAGCGTGCTGCCAAGAAGAAGACCAAAGACGATGACGATAGCGAGTCGAGCGAGGAGGAGGAAGAGGAGGTGGAGGATACCAAGCAGAAGTCGAACAAAAAGATCAACGGTAAGAAGGTGAAGGCGAAGGCGGAGGTGAAAGAGGAAAGCGAGGAGGCGGAGGAGGAGGAAGAAGAAGGCGAAGACGAGGAGGAAGAAGACGAAGAGGAAGTAAAGCCATCACCCAAGGGCGAGAAAAAGGCCAAGCCGAAGGCAAAGAAGGGCAAGGCGCCGTCCAAGAAGCCGACGAAGAAGGAAAAAGTAGACGAGGAGGAAGATGACGATGACGACGACGCGATGGACGAGGAAGAGAAGAAAGGAGAGGAGGAGGAGGTCGATAGCAGCGAACAGGAAGAACGCAACAGCAGAAAGAAGAAGGAAAAGAAGAAGCAAGGAGCCAAGGAGCAGCCCAAAAAGGAGGAAAGCGATGACGATGGAAAAGAGAAGAAGGAGAAGAAGAAGAAGGAGAAGAAGGAGTCCGACGACGGTGACGAAGAGGAGGAAGACGAGGAAAAGAGCGCCACGAAGAAGAAGAGGAGGACGGCGGGCGACAAGCGGGAGGCGGAGAAGCAGCAGAGCCGGAGGGCCAGTGTGCGCACCAGGAGCAAGGCGCACCACGAAAAAGAGGAGGCCGCCGCCAAGAAGAAGGAGAAGAAGTCCCCTTCTGCCGTGAGCAGCAGCAGCAGCGGGAAGAAGAAGCGGAAGAGGTCGCCACCTCCGCCCTCGGCCCGGGAGAAACGGAAGATGGAACGCGACAAACGCAAGAAGCGGGCACGAGAGGCCGCAAAGAGCGAAGAAGAGGAAGACGAAGAGGAAGAAGAGGAAAGCGAACACGCGTCTTCTCAGGAAGAGGAGGAGGAGGAGGACGATGCCGAAGAAGAGGAGGACGCAGAGGTGAACAAGAAGAAGGCCGAGAAGAAGAAGAAGAAGAAGGCCGCCAGCAAGCGACAGTCCACGAGGGGATCGAGAAGGAGCTCGCGGAGCCGACGGTCGGCAGATACGCCCGAAGACGACGGAGACTGGGAGGCGCAGGAGAGCGAGGACGAAGAGGAGGAAGACGACGACGAGGTGGACGCCTCGAGTAGCGACGAGGACGCATCCGCCAAGCCGCGAAGCAAATCCTCTTCTTCATCGTCGTCGTCATCGTCCAAGTCGAACGGCCGGAAGGACGCCTCGACGGCGGCCAAGGAGAAGAAGGACAGCCCAGCGAACGGAAACGATGACATGGACGAGGAGGAGGAAGACGACGACGGGGAGAAGGGAGTGGTGGCGAATGGCGGAGCGTCGAGGAAGCGGAAGCGGCAGCAGACCGTCGCGACCACGACCACAGCCACGAATGGCGGCGGAGAGTCGCTCTCCAAGCGCCGCGTGGGCGGGCTGGGCACGGGGGCTGCAGCGCCCAGGCGGCTCAACAAGAGCCTCCGCCGCAGCGAGCGCAACCGCAAGCGGCGCGAGCGCCAGGAGCGCAGGGCTCGGGGCGAAGTGTCCGAAGACGAGGAAGAGGGTACCTTCCTTTGTTTATTTGTTGTTTTTTTTAAAATCCATTTGTTTTTGTTATATTTGAGTTAACTCACGTTTGGCGCGTGTGGGTGCAGAGGAGAGCGACAACGAGGAGGACGAGATGTTGCAGCACCTCAAGTGCGAGTGCTGCGGACGAGGGGACGACGGCAACAAGCTGCTGCTGTGTGACGGCGAGGGCTGCAACAAGGGCTACCACATCTTCTGCATCTTCCCACCGCTCGACGAGATCCCCGAGGACGACTGGTTCTGCGATCAGTGCGAGCTCATCCGCAACAATCCCTTCCCCACGCTCCCCGAAGGTGTGACGCACACGCACCACCGCACACGCACACGCACCACCGCACAAGCTAACTCGAATCGCGATGCACATCATAGGAACGCTGACGGGCACGGGCGAGGAGAACGTGCTGGGCAGTCCGGTTCCGCAGGGAGGCGAACAGCTCAGCACTCCCACGATGCAGGACTGGATGGAGAACATGAGTTTCACGGTCAAGCCTGCCAACGACCGCGACAACGCACTCGACTTTAAGGTTCGTTCTTCGTTCTTTCTTCGTTCTTTCTTCTTAAATGCTGAGGCCGGTGCTTTGACTGCGCAGCTGCGGAGCGATGACATGGCGCTGGACTTTGCCAAGGCCGGCACGCCCACCCCGGGCGGTCGCACGTCGCCCAACTCGCTGAACGACTTTGATTCGTCGAATTTCAACGCCACGAACTCGCTGGCCTCGCGCACCAGCACACGCATCGACGACACCAAGACCGTCATCCTCTGGCGAGGCGGCCTCACATTCGACGGCGCCAACATGGGCGACTTCACCATCTCCTTCCGCGGCGTTCCTGCTCATGCCGACGAGTGGTACGTTAACGAGCAAACGCAACACGCATCGACGCATGTATCAGCTACGCGGCGGCATGCTCACACCGACACCTTTTTCGTGTTGTTGTTGTGTGTGTGTGTGTGTGTGGTGTGTGTGTGTTCATCGTGTGCAGCAAGAAGATCGTGCGCGAGTGGGGCGACCGGGTGAGCCTGTTGGCCGGTAAGAAGGGCACCTCCCTGCCGCTCGTATCGACCGACTCGCACGCGGTCACCGTCCTGCCCGGCTCCAACAAGGCCGCCTACGAACGCTTCGCCGCCCAACTCGAAGAGAACAACTGGGTACGATCCCGCCCCGCCCCGCCCCGCCCCCTCTTGGTCCAGTACTTACTGATCTCCTGTTCGTCGGCTGGTGAGCAGGTGTGCATGATATCGTATCCGCGAAGCGATCTCTGTATCTACCCGACCGCCATGCGGCCAGCGCCCGACGGATCGGCGGCGAGTAGCCGCCTCTCGGGCCTGCTCATCCCCAAGACCAAGGCCTCCGTCGCCGCAGCGGTGGGCGCCGCGACCGCGCAAAAGCTCGCCGCGCCACCGGGCAGCGGTTCCCCGCGCATCCAAGAGGTACACCACCGTCAACCCGCGCTGTCTCTGTCTTTTGTTGGGGGCTCACACTCGCTCTGCCCACAGCCGGCCTTCATGCCAGGCATCCGCTACGCGCTCCTGGGGTATCCACCAGCCAACGCACAAACTCCCGCAGGTGAGCACTCCCCCAATCCCACTTTCTTCCCGATGTTCGCGCAGACTTGAGTGCACTACTAACACGCCTTTTTTCGCTCTTTTGTTTCAGGGGCGAACACCCCCGAGCAGCGGAGGATCAGCGGCGTGGTGGGCTACCTCGCCCGACCCGGCGGCGCTCACTACGTCAACGAAAAGGATCTCAACCACGCCAACACCGACCTCATCATCGTATATACCCGGGCTCCCTCTCTCGAGGCCTCGTTGCTTTTCGCCTGGTCTGGTCTGAAGCTGACGCGATTCCCTCTTGGCTCGCCCCGCAGGTCCATCCGAATCATCTGCATCGATTGGCCAGTCTCGTGCCGGGCATGCTCGAATGCCGCCTCAACCCGGCCATCGTGTTCGTGCGGGGCATCGACTACCTGGAGAACTGCTGCAAGCGCCAGGCCCTGCTGACCCCGCATCCGAGCGATGTCATCTACCCCTCGGGCGGCATCATCGTCCTCTTGGCCGATGACATCCTCAGCGGGACCACCACGCTCGCCACCGTTCTCGCCCTGATCGCGCAGGTGCGCTGCCTACACCTCGCTTGCCCCATCCACACCGTGGGCTGTTGGCCCATGCGTACTCCAGCGAGAAGGCGCCTGCTTACACCGTGACCACAGGAGGGAAAGGAGCGACGGGAGTGGATAGTCAAGATCCAGCCCGAAGACATCACGCGGCTCCAGGAGATGAAGAACACGTCGCCACTCGCCAGTGCCGCTCTTCAGCTGATGCAGCAACGTACGCACGCGATTAACACACACACACACACACGCACACACAATGAGTCGTGTAGTTTTGTGGCCTGACACTGGATGTGGTTGCTCTGTGCACAACAGGACCGGAGATCTTCTCGGCGTTTGCCGAAAATGAGACATCGCAGAGTAAGTCGGTGGACATCCCCTCGGTCGTGCGATCGGCGCTCAAGTTGTCCCTCGTTCACATCGCCAAGTGCCGACACGTCGTGCTCATCACCGAGAACAAGGCCCTCCAGGGCGTCGCCAAGGGACAGAACGTACGTAGTTGAGCCACACCCCCTCCTGCTATATTCCTTTTCCTTTCTAACCCATTGCTTACACTCTCTTCTTCTTCTTCTTCTCGTTTCATCGCGCCGCAGCTGTTGTGCATGTCGATGGAGGACCTGAAGGGGTTCTTCGCGGACCAGGCCAAGCTGCGCACTCAGCCCCGGGCCTTCAAGCCCACTCCCGAGATTGCGGCGCCCGGCTCCGCGACTGCTCCCGGGCCAGGACCCGCTCCTCCTCCGCAGTCGGGCTATCCCGGACCCAGCAGGGTGCCGGGTATACTGCCTCTGCCGGCCACCCCGGTGTCGGCTTCGCCCCTGCTCGCAGGACTGGGCGGCGCGCTCAACGGCTCACCGCAGCCCCCGTCC